GTATTTTTTAGAGCACCGTAGGCAACACTCGCATTGTTTTTTAACATTTTATACTTTAAACTTGTTAAATATGCTGGGTTGTTATAAAACAATGTTGGGTCAAATATGGACAAACCCACTCTCAAAAAAATGACTTTTGCTGCTCGTTAAATCTATTTATTTAAAAGAAGTTGAAACAACACAATTCTTAAGATTTTTTGGGACGACCTAATTGTTTTATACTTAATCCACTTAAATTTATAAAAACACGCTGGTGTTAGCTTAATCGATTTGTGTTAGGACAACTTTGAGTTAAGTTTTTGAATCCAATTTAAATGTTTTTAAAACACAACAGATGGGTTTGTCTATATTTGTTTGACTCAACACAGTGATAAAGCAACCCAGCATTTGTACAGCGCAGTTTTTAAAGCACTGGAGCAAACACTTGCGTTGGTTTTTTTTTTTTCTCATATTTTATACTTTAAACCTGTTGCTTTAAAAGCAGTCTAATCTTATTCATGACTATAAATGAACATGATGTGACCGGTGGGCCAAACTGCAGATCTGGTCAACATATGCACATCAGATATTTACAAATCTATCAGAGCAAGTGCTGTCTGTGGGTTTTCGCAAAGTAAATCACCACTAAAGCATTTAAAACTTATTTTTACCTGAAAACAAATAATAATAAAAAGAAATTGGTAGAAAGTGTATTTTTTATTGTTAGTTCATGTTAAAAGAAGAATAAAATTCTGTTATCATTCACTCACCCTTTTTTTCTGTTGAAAGCAAAATATACTCAAAAACAGCTTTGGTCAAACTACTTATTTAATATGAGATAAACCACCACAATTCTTAATTTTCCGGGGGATAACTTATCTGTTTTAGATTCAATCCATTTACCTTGTTGTGGTGGGACAACATGAAGGAATTATGTGGAGCCCAGCATTTTTTACAGCGTAAGGTATCTTGAAGAAGGTTGGAAACCTTTAACCATTGATTTGCATGGTTAAGCAAATACGTGTATGTAGGTCAATAGTTACGGATTACTTCGAAGTAACTGAATTTTATTTTGGTTATGGAACCGTTCTGTTCCCTTTTCCTTTGCTCAATTCAATTTAATTCAGTTCAAGTTAACAATAATTATTGTCTTAAAGCAGCTCTACAAAACGAGCACATTATTGCATTACAATCAAATTTGGAAAAGTTAAGGTTATTAGTTATCATTACTTAGTTACTAATAAGTTTAACTATTTAACTAACTAACAGCTTTTAACAGCAAAGTTATTATGTATAAGCATAATTAACCTGCAGCTATATAGTATAAAGGTGACGTCTATTGCTGCATCCCAATTCGCATATCCTAATATTAGAAAAGGATTAGTCCCAAACCATAGTATGTTGAAAAGTGTGTGCCAAAGGTTCCTGTATGGTTTACTATTTCCGGTAAAAACTCAAAGAGTAGAAGCATCCGTACTCAAACCATTAATATTACCCACAATACATTGCATATTGTTCGTAAATATTGTTTAGAACTACAAACTTGGGTAAAAAGCGTAAGATCAACCATCAAGTAGAGAGGCTTCTGTAATGTTGTTTGAATGACTGTTAATTAATTTCTAGTCAACTGGAACATCTTTAAAATGTGTTTTCCGTGTTATATTTCATCAGCAACAACATTAACTTACATCAAGATATGTTTGAATATTCACTTCTGAATGCATAATTTTCCAAAGACCTGAGATTTCTCTGCATGAAAAACTCACAAATGGCAGATTATCCTGCTGCTGCTTCTCCAATAAGGCAGGTAATTAAATCTGAAAAAATGTGTCTAGATGATTGACAGGGGATAAGTAACATAACAATCTGTCAACAAGAAAGTAGTAAGTCCCAAAGCTTGCATACTCTTCTGTTACACACTCAAAATTACATACTTCTTCTTTATAAAAAAGTGCATATTTTTAAGGTGTAGTATGTGAATTAGGACACAGCATATGTGTAGATGTTCAACAAAGTGAGTTTTATATACAAATTAACATCAACATCCTCCAGTGCAAAATTTGGATTTAGCTAATAAAGCTCTTACACAGAAATAAATCAGCTTCAACCGCTAAATGCTAAAGGTCACATATATGGTGACTCAAGCACTTCAGGACACAGATCCAGAATCCTGCTAAGCATTACGGTCAATGAAGAAACATCTGTTGTGTTGCAAGCACATGCAAAAGACAAATAGCATCTGTTTCTCAACCGGCGATAAGCAGCAAAACCCCACATCTGCTGACAACACAGGTGCTTTCATCAGAAGAGCAAACCACTGTTTCATGACTAAGGAGAAGTTTCTGCACAGTCAGCTAATAGACTAAATTATTGATTAGGCACTGGCTGTTGATTCAACCTAGCTAAACACTACTGTATACGGACGGCATATGGGATTTGCAAATGATCTGTAAGGATAAAAGGGACTGGTAATCGGTACTGCGGTGTAGTTGAACCTCATTATCACATTAAGACTAAGACTAGATTTCTCATAATATTACCACACTAAGGTCACAGCTTTAATAAAGGTACGACTTTCAAAAGTGTCAAAAGGAAAGCGGAGGATCTCAGTTAAAAGCTAAATGTAATTATCCATAACAAATCAGAATATTACTGGAATCTGATGAAAACGAGTACAGGAAATTAGCTACTCTATATGTTTAAGCTGTACTGTGAGGACATCAGCACACCGGATTTTAACCACAAACACCTCATCCACCCATTAACCATCTCTCATACCTTTCCTCAATCACAAGAACGCATCAAATCTGAGGCAAAGCGGTTTAACCCAAATGGTTTCATAAGCAGGAATGGAATAAATTCAGTAGCATAAATAAAGCAAGCAACAAACTTAACATTTCACCAAGCCAACGACAATCACATTTCTTCGCTCATTGCAGCAAAGTGATGCAATTCCATTTTTATTTCAGGATTTTTCAATTTCAGAAAAAATAATCCTATTTTACCAAGCTTTAACTTGCTTTATTTTACAAGTGACTTCATGAGATGCTCTTTACTAGCTTCACTTCCCTCATCACACCTCTATTTAAAGATGTTACCATTTCTAGAGAATTTCATGGTGTCATGAATGTCATCATCTGACCACTTTAAAACACAGCTTATTAAAAGCATATTTGAACTGAATTCATCATGAACAATGACTAATAGAGTAAAAATGACTTAAATTGATCTGTTCTGAAAATGTTTTAGCCATTTTTATTGGAATATGATCATTTTTTCAATTGACTTATAATATGTATTAAGCCTGTTTTCTGTTAAAAAAAATAACAATTAGAGTTTTCATATTTTTAATTGGCCATTGTTTTTTTTGATGTTCTTATGTCTATATATTTGCAATATTATTGATATTTTATTTCTATTCTACTTCATCTACATTTGTAATTTTAGTTTTAGTTATTTTACAACAAACTAAAACTAAACACTAAAGAGATGCAAGAATAAAGAGCTTGGCAAATTTTTCATATGCTTACTATAAGGGCTGCACAATATATCATTTTAGCCTCGATATTGCAACGTGAGAGTCCGCAATACTCACTTTACAATGTGGTTGGGATTATAGTTAGCCAGACATTACAATTAACATAGTGGAGTAATATCAGAGTGAAAGATTATTATTTGCATGTGTTTTTAAGACCTGATTGTTAAAATTTAAGCCATTTGGGCATAATAAATTAAATGTTTGAAGCTTTAAATGAATTGTACATTATATAATTATTCACCAAAAATAAAACTATAGTGTTGTTGTTATTATTATTATTATACGGTGATTATTAGATTTCTGCTTCTGAATACTGTTTGACTCCCCAGAAAATCATAAATCATTGTTTATTTGCATCTTTTCTCTGTTGAATTTAACTTTGCTTGTAATTTTTTATGCAAATATGCTCCACTACGTAATCATCCCAATCAATCTAAAATTATAAACTCTTTATAAGCAGTCATCAGGTGAAATTGCATTTATATTGCAATATTGTAGTGAATGAGAATATTGCAATGTCAGTTTTTCCAATATCGTGCAGCCCTACTTACTATATATTTTAAGAAATAACTATTTAATTTAAATAAACATTTTACACATATATTTTTATGATTAATAAATTTTAATAACATATATTTGATTTGTTAAACATTAAGTTACAAGCACATAAAATTTTGATAATATCTTTTTATGACTTGTCTAATAACGATTGTATGAACAATAGTTTTGCAGATTTCTTTTGAGAGGGATCAATACAACAACAAATAACACAGATAGAAGGACAGGTAGGAAGACAAGACTGATAAATAGACTGATAAAGACAAACAGAGAGACAGACAGACAAATAAATGGGTGAATGAATAGATATAGATGGACGGTTTGATAGAGTATGGAAAGAACAGACAGATTGACAGGCAGACGAATGAAAGGGTAAATAGATAGAGATATTGACTGATTGATTGATTGATTGTTTGTTTGTTTGACTAATTGATTGATTGGTTGATTGATTGATTGATCATTAACAAATAGATGAAAATAGATAGACAGACAGACAAATAAATAGGTGGATAGAGATATGGATGAATGGATTGATGGACTATTAACAGATGGATGAAAGAATAGATAGATAGATAGATAGATAGATAGATAGATAGATAGATAGATAGATAGATAGATAGATAGATAGATAGATAGATAGATAGATAAACAGCGGCAGACACAAAAACAGACAGACAAACAGACAGATAAAATTGCAAAAAGTAAAACAAAACTAAAATATCCTGCATGTGCTCTTGCTGAATCACTGTTGTCAGTCAGAGAAGCGTACCTGAAGCGCGCGACCCCGCAGACCCGATCATGTCACAGCGACTCCTCGTCCACACGCGTTGACGTAAGCTTTCTCTCGGTGCTGAGACACGCACCGCAGTCAACTCTTTTACTCTCACGGACACACGCAAAAAAACAAAACAAAACGTTCACTTACCTAAACTTTCAGTTGGTCCTGCACGCTGATCTGCTGGAAGACGCTTTTCACATGGTCTCCTGCTCCTTCTTCTCCTGCTTTTTGGCGCTCTGCAAAACGACTTGTGTTTTCTGTGCAGCGGTAGGAATGAACGCTGGCTCTCCGTCTGCGTTGAGTTTCATCCGCGACCGCGTGCTTTTGCTTTGCTCTTTGCTGATTGTGGCATTTCCAGCACGCGCCTCCTCTAAATTGCTACATTGTTGACATTGGGGCGATGACGTCATGGCGATGCGCCCATAGTAGAGGAGAAGAAAAAAATAGCACGAGCCATTCAGTGGTTGTGGAACATCATTGTGTGCATCTAAATAACAGCTTTCTATACATGTAAATGAATCACCCTCTGAAGTGGCACATACTGTAGTACTGCGGGTGGGAGTATAACACCTTTGGCGTGCTAATGATTTCATTGAGAATGGGGGTTTGACACCTCATGTCGCATTCACTTAAAACCCTGCAGAACACGTTGTTATATATTACATTATGACGTCTTCTAGTTTTTTTTCTAGAATGTTTGAGTGGGTGAAATACGTTTAAAAGACAGCTTGATTGTATTATGGTTTATTCAATTATGTTTTACAGTGCTTATTTTTTTGTTATTTATTTTAATGTACTTAATTTAAACGACACGTATTTAAAAATGCATACATTCAGTCTTAGTCCCTTTTATTAATCCAGGGTCGCCACAGTGGAATGAACCGCCAACTTATCCAGCAAGTTTTTACGCAGCGGATGCCCTTCCAGCCGCAACCCATCTCTGGGAATCATTCACATACACACACACACTCATACACTACGGACAATTTATCCTAACCAATTCACCTGTACCGCATGTCTTTGGACTGTGGAGAAAACCGGAGCACCCGGAGGAAACCACTGCAAAGAGAACATGCAAACTTCACACAGAAACGCCAACTGAGCCGAGGCTTGAACAAGTGACCCAGCGACCTTCTTGCTGTGAGGCGACAGCACTACCTACTGCGCCACTGCTTCGCCTTTTTACTTTATAAAATAATCTAATTTTATTTAATTTTTTATTTATTGATTATTAATAATTTATTTTACCTGTGAATTAATTAAACATTTTATACATATATAAATGTATAAACATGAAGAAACAAGACTGATACACAAACACAAATAAACACACACACACACACACACACACAAATTATCGGGCAATATTTGCTCAACTGCTATTTTTACACGGCTCTGTTTTTTACACTGCATTTCTACCTCAAACACAAACGTTTACATGAACAGTATTTTTTTTATCCGATCCAATATTTGCACAGCATCCATAGTGTACTGGTCGGCTTCACTGTTTCTTGTCCTGTCTTATTTGCACTAAATGTTGCACAAACCGCACTTTGCACTCTCATTCTTATTTTATTTATTTATTTTTTATTTATTAATTAATTTATTTTAGTTGATCTTATTTTATTTCATTCTCTAGATAGTAGTGCACAGTCCTTTATTATGTTGTCAATTTATGTTGTTCGATGTAGCACCTTGGTCCTGGAGGAACATTGTTCCGTTTTACTGTGTACAGCACCGTTTATTGATAAAAATGACTATAAAGCCGACTTCACTTGATATAAATTATTTTAAATCCTACATTATTAATATTTAAAAGCAAGACATCTTAACAGATCTGGATTTTGTGTTGAGCACATGCACCCAGTCACTCAGTCTATTTGAATGTGTAATCCTTATCATCTACGTAACAACCTGAATTTATTTTTATTTTATTTATATAAAATTGTAACAGTGGCCTAAATTGACGCTGACTAATTTACCCTCCTCATATACCCCCACACTCTCTACTTAGGCCCACACAGAATCTGCATGCACAGAAATCCACAGATTAACAACCCATCATTGAGTCTATTTATATACTTGTGTAAATGTGTTTAAATATATATTTATTCAGTTTTAAAAACATTTTCAGTAATATTATTGACTAATATGAAAATGTTCATATGATTTATTTACATTACAGTTTAGTAAAGTAATATTTTCTGTCTTTTAGTAGATATATTGTATGAGGGACTTGCTAGTCCACTAGTAAGTGGATCAAATTGGATTTGCATTGTAGATATTAAATAAAAGTTGCTTATTTTTATTTAATAAATTAAGTTTTTAATTACAATACTCCCAAAAGTCCTTCCACATAAATCTGCAGATTTTTTTTTTTTACAAAAATAGCAAAAAATGTTCACAAATTCTGTCTTATACTCCCTATTATCACTGCACTATTTAATATTTGTACATTTAAAATTGTACATAACAACTTTGTTGCACTATTTCATCATATGTAATTATGTTCATATCAATCTGCCTACTTCTGATTATTAATATACATATATTTATTAATTGTAAATCTATGTTAATAGCTAATACACATGTTCATAGTACATCCATCTGTAAATATTACCCATCGTTTTCTATAATTGCATTTCATAACTTATACAGCTGCTGCTATTGCATTCCTGGTTAGACCTAAACTGCATTTTGCTGCTTTATACTTGAGCATGTACATGTCTAATGACAATAATGTTGAATCTAATCTAATCTAAATTGCATGTTGAATGTTTAAAGGCCTAATAAATGAAGGACCACATGCCCTCAATGGGAACAAAACTGAATAAAATATAATCAGTAATGTCTAATAGCCTTTAAATTAATAATACTATATATTTAAAGAAAGCACAATTGCAACAGTAGGCTCTACGGTAACAACAACGCAAAAAAATAAAAATTGTGCAACCTTCTAAACCAGGTTATCCATACATTAAAAACAGATCCAATTTTACAGTGGCTGTATGTATATTTAGATTAGTGCCAGGCCAGAGTAAGCATACCAGCGCTTAATCTCACTGTACCCCAAAGGAGCTGGCAAGCAGTTATATGAATTATCGGGTTGTCACAGACGGCTCTTGCTTCTCCTTTGATTCTGATCCAAACAAGCCATAATTTCACTGTTAGGCTCAAAAATAACTGTGACAGATTCTCAAAGGCGCAGAGTGGCACTGACATCAAAGTCGTCCTTATCGTGCAAAATGGAGACCTTAAGATGCAATAAAAATGCCTCCGCTTTGCATCCATCCTCACAAAGCAGCAGTGCAGCCAGTGCACTTTGGAAATGACTGCTTTTCAGGTTTGTTTGAGTCACTGGAGACCTGAGGATTGACTGTGATCCCTAAAGTGTATGAATGACACCCAATACATTGGAATTTTTACGTTTTTAAGTAGAACAGAACAAACAATCAACATTGTCTCAGAATATACACACTTTGCAAGTAAATATAATATGAATTGCCATAGATGTGGGTTCAGCTGTTGGAGATGCAAAATTTAATGTTAGAGGATGTAATTATCAAAAGGTCCTATAAGGTAGTGTGCCAGTCAGGTTTCATGAGGGATGATGGATTTGGATTGAGCCTGTTTCAGGTCTAAGTATTCGAGAAAGTGTTATCAGGTAGCAAAGATTTTTCTGTTAGAATTAGATCTCATATATCGGAGCCTTTCCAAATGAATGACAGAGGCCATATCTGTTAACAAGACTCGAAAAGAAGAAAAGGAAAAGAGGTAAAGGAGATTTCCGGTGTTTTAGTACCGTGTTTATGCCTAGTCAGGGCTTGTTGAAGATGTTTTGGAAGGGTGAGGGAGAGAAACAGCAAAAGCAGCAAGCTCTGTGTCCGGTAAGAGAGAAAGGTTATAGGCCTTGAGTATAAATCAAAATTGTTTGTCTAAAAACCGAACAAATTCGGGCAAAATCAAAATGCATGAGCTGTGGTTTCCTCTGTAATCTTACATTTATCACACATAGGTGAAATATAAGAACATTTTTTGTGTAATTTGGTTTTGGTATATGGCGGTTCATTCACTGTGGTGACCCCTGATTAATAAAGGGACTAAGCCGAAAAGCAAATAAATGAATGGTTTTGGTACAGGGTAGATGATGAACGACTTGTATAAATTGGTGGCTACTGTTTATTGAACAGGACTGTACTGCTATCAGGCAGGTATCCCATAGTTTATGCTGGATTTTTAAAGCAAAAATTGTCTAAAAGTGGCTGTGGCTTTAATACAATCTACATAGTAAAAGAGTTATAGAAATAAAGATGAATTAAATTTAATTCTGTGTACACTTACTTATATTTATCACTTTTGAAGTTTGGAAACCTGTAACCATTGACTTCCATAGTAGAAAAAACAAATACTATGGAAGTCAGGTTTCCAACATTCTTCATAATATCTTATTTTGTGTTTAAAAGAACTGCAGTCAGGCAGTTATCCCATAGTTTACGCTGGAAAGCAGAAATTGTCTAAAAGTTGTTGTGGCTTTACTTTAATTCAAATTTCAGCAGTGACCTTTATATTACACTGAAATGAACTGAACTTAACTCTGAAAACTGGACTGAAGCAGTTTCAATTTAATAGAACTTACATGTTAAGCTGCTTTAAAACAATCTACATAGTAAAATAATTATAGAAATAAAGATAAATTAAATTTAATTCTGTGTACACTTACTTATATTTATCACCACTGACTTGTTCCAAACTAGTTTGAGGTTGAACATGAAAGGAGATATTTAGAAGAAGGTTGGAAATCTGTAACCATTGACTTCCATAGTAGAAAAAACACATATTATGGAAGTCAGGTTTCCAACATTCTTCATAATATCTTCTTTTCCGTTAAACAGAACAATAAAAAAGGGAAGGATGAGTAAACGACAATAGATCTTATATTTTCTGATTGTACATACTCCCAAAAATAAAGTTGCAAGAGCTGTCACTGGGGTGGTACCTTTTCAAAAAGTGCACATTTGTAACTAACAAGTCCACATTAATACCTCAAGGGTAATTAATAATACCTAAAAAGTTCAAAAATGTAGATTTTGGAATATTTAGGTATATAATATAATAGGTATATAATATATACCTTTGTGGTACCAATATGTACATTTCAAAAAGGTACCACCACCCCAGTGACAGCTCTTGCACCTTTATTTCTGAGGGTTCAGAGACTATTGCTTTAATGCCTTGTTTTACTGATGCAAAATATGAAAGAAAGGTTTGCGCTGATGTATTCGCGTGTTACGATATTATCAATGTTCTGAATAGACACTGGTCTAATTCAGGCTTGTAGTTATTATTGACAGATTCTGTAATTCCAACCCAATGCATTTTAATGCAACAGCACCCCGCTATGGCTGAGATTGAAAATGCAATTGGTTAAAAATATAAAAACCAAACAGTATTTGTGCTGGTTGTAATATAAACAACACAGTGCATGTACATAGGGTATAAAAACAATTATTACCATGCTTCCCCAGCTGATCGATAACATTATAATTACTTTTGTATTAACGTCCAGACTATAGATGAATAACATAAGTAAAGTTTAGTGCAGTGATGTCCAAACTAGGGCCCGTGGGCAAAAGTTGGCTCCTGGTAACCGTTGATTTGGCCTGCCATCCCATCTGAGAAGAAAG